CTACCGTCTTTGGAACTTTTCTCATGTAGTAGTCCAGGACGGCTACATGAGGATAGCAGATTGTTGATTTTTGGGCCCTGACTTCAAAACTAGAACAAGTACTATTGAACCCCTGGGGGATACATGCTGCTGAGGCTACAGCTACAGAGTTAAGTACTCAGGAGTGCACATGAGTGTGCTGTGGTAGTCTAGTTATCTTTATGTTTATAAAGCTGATATGTAATAATCATGAAGCATTTGCTTCATACCTGGCAGTAGGCCTTGGACTTTGCTTACATTTGCCTTCAAATCAGAGAGGCTAAGTAGCCTTCCCAAGTGACGCACTAGCTCACACCTTCCTACCACATCTAGGCATCTGATTCTCTCATATGTTTTTTCATAGCATCATTTGTGTGAATGAATCTTAGCTATGAGTAAAATTATAACACAGTGGGGCATTTACTTCATGCCAACTGTGGAACACACCGCTGTGTCCTGGGTCTAGCTTTGACTGCCATTTTAACATTATGTTATATCAAAAGAATTGGATTTATGAACAGCCAGTTGTAGAATCTTCTATTCATCAGCTTGTGGCTTGGGCATGGGTGTCCTGTGATATAAAGAATTATAAGCTGAAGTGTGCTCTAAGAAAGTACTACACCTCATTTAGCTCCCTCACAGCCTTATTCCTGGGAACATCAAGCTGCCTATGGTTATTAATTTTGTAATTTCCTTTGGGCTGTGTCTGCAGAGCGTTTTGAGGTCATATGATTATTGAGGTTTATTATTTATTATTATTATTATAGCTTTCCTTTGGTTAAATCTAATTGTTTGATTTTTTAAACTGATAAAATATATTATGCTTACAAAAAATTGCGCAACATGTTAATTAAGCTAAATCCATGTTATAAATAGATTCAAAACATTCTAAGTAGTGCTATCTGCCCATCATGCCCCACTAGTTTTGAGCTATTCACCTGACATGATATTTAATTTTCAGCCACCACCTCAAATTTATGATGCCCAGTTAGAAGAAAGAGAGCATGCAATTGAAGAATGGAAAGGTAAAACCACGCGTTTTGATCTTTACTTATGCCATTCTCATAGTCCTATAGAACTTAACTGTCACTATTTTTTGATACCAGACTCCTGGAAAGGACCTTGAGACCCCAGAAGCCCCAATTTCCTCTCTCCCCACTTCCCACTGAGGAAGAGTGTAACTCTAGCAGTGTTAGAATAGAACATATGTGACATCATAATTTGCTTCAGGTGAAACCCAAGGACTTTCCATGTGATTTTCCATTATCGTATACTGATGTGTGGCCTTGACATCAGTAAGTGTGTTACACTCATTTTGATAGCATGGGAGTTGGTGGAGCCAACCCAATGTACAGGCTACATATTCCCTACAAAGATGCCTGTCTAAACAGATATGGGGAAGCCCAGCTGTAGGACATGTCTTTGTCTATTAAGCCATATAGTTTTATGTTTTAAAAGCTGGTTTGAAGGAAATTACCAAAAATAGGCAAGAAGGTACCTTTAAGATGAACCACACAGCCACAGTGAACTAAAGTGGTTAACAAAGAAACAACTTGAAAGTTTTCATTCAGAAGCAGGGCCATTAGAGACTAAGGGCCGTAGTCAGTACAGGCCAACATTGATGATAGACTTTCCACACTGGCATGTCAGTGGCCCACACATGTACATACTCATCATGGCAATGCTCACAGTGTATGCTTGCAGTATGAGAATGTGAACCCCTAATAACTTATGTGATAGCCAAAGGAAGTTGAGAAATTCTGGTGCCCTTGGGTAGCTCCAGGGGTGTGGAGGCAGAGTTCAGGTGCAGGGGAAACAACAGAGCATCTTCTGTTTCTCTTTGAAGAACTAATTTATAAAGAAGTGATGGACTGGGAAGAAAGAAGCAAGAATGGTGTAAAGGACCAGCCTTCAGGTTAGTGATTGCTTTAATTTTGTTGTCTAATATTTTGGCTGTTCAATGTTTATAAATGGCAATGATGTGTTAATGCCACTTGGACCACCCTGGTGTGATGTAGCTACCTTCTTTCGTGTCCTAATGCAGTCACTCTTTTGAGGTGGCAGGCCCTAACTAACTGCATTTGAGACATTGCTGTTGTGACTTGCAGCAGCTGCTGTCAGCTGTTTAGAGAGCAAGAGATTGGATTTGAAGACTTTTAAAATGTGGTCCTGTTTGCACTGATCCCATGCAGTTTAGAAAAAGATGGACGTTTGTGCAGACCTAAGATCCTGCATGTTTTATTTTTGCTCAAACCACACTAACACATGGGTAGTAGGAAATAGGGTAGCTTTATTTACCTTTGAAGTTAAAATAACAGTTTTTAGAATCATTAAACAAAAATAAAATTCATAGCAGGCACTAGCCTTTTCCTTTTTGGGGTGTATATTTCAGAAGGCATTTTTATCACAAAAGATTTTCTTGAATCCTGATGCTTTTTTTCTGTAGATGAGGTGTGCCTGTTGTAAATTAAATGTCCCATAACATTTGAACCCCACTCAGGCCTAAGCCTCCTGTGGTAATTGTAGTATAAATTCATCCATTTCCTTTAAGGTCTGTTTGAAGTCAGTGGGTATATCTTTTTCAGTAATCAACATGATCATACATGATCACATACACATGGTGCACAGGAAAAAAAAACAGAACATTGTAGGGAAAGCCAAGACTGTTTGGAAATTGAACCAAAGAAGGGCTAAGGAAAAATTCCAGTAGCTCAACAGTATAGTAGACAAGTTTCTTGGTTCTGTTGATCATTACAACCAGGAAACTGCAAAGCAGAGTCAGGAAGTAGCCTGGAGCCCCATGCCTCAGGTTTTATTCCATTTGGTTCTCTTAGCACAGATGCAGCAGTAAGCAGCAAGGCCACCCCTTCACAGTCTTCATCCATCAATGACATCTCGTCCATGTCCACTGAGCACACACTGGCCTCAGACACGGACAGCAGTCTCGATGCCTCAACAGGACCCCTTGAAGGCTGTCGATGATACGTTGGAGACAGTGCGCTTGTCTGTGAAGGAACTCTCACTTCCATGGTCCCGAAGCACATGGGAGTTGATGGACCCAGATTGAAAAACTCCATGTTCTGCATGTAAGAAACACGATGCCCCCACCCCTGCTCAGTTCAATAGGATTGCCTGCTTAGACTATAAAGTGAGGCAGACTGTGTCTGAAGAAAAAGTACAAACCACACTGTTAGAGATTTTGTTCAAGATCATTTCAGGTGAGCAATTAGAATAGATGAATTTCTTTTCCAAATTGTGTGGTGTCCGTGGTGACAGCTCATGTGTAACCGTGGGGACTCGTATGCATGTGACCACAAATGCTTGCTTGAACTTACCATGTAGCACTTTGGGAATCAGTATTTAAATACCAAATAATCTTCCAGGTAGTTCTGCTTCTAGAATAATCTCTTAATCCTCTTTAGTAATTTGGTGTCTATACACAAAAAAAAATAGATTTATGTGTATTAATTGGCCACCGTCATATTATCATATCTTACCCACTTTTATGGTATGATTTATTCTATCTTTTGTATTTCAGAAGGAATATAATTAAATTTATTTAATAAATAAAAATACAGCTTTTCTTAAATTTGTGATGTTTTGGGCTGAGAATTACCGCTGCTAAAACCAAGTTCTTTATATAGACACTCTGTGTCCTTTAAACTGCTCAGTGTGGAATAACTTTACATACAGCTTTCTGCATGACAAAATTTCCAGTTGTATTTCCTGCTACTTAAGGCATACATTACCTTGAATCCTGCCCATGCATCTCCTTCTCCTTGGTCCTCTGGACATGGATTTAGAATCCTCCATATCACAAAGCACCCATCTCAATAGAATGCTGGTGGCAGATTCCTGAACCCACTGTCTAGTGTTGGCATAGAGCAGAAGTGGCCTCTCCCGAACAGCCACTGAACAGTGCCTCCCTCCCCAGAGCCCACCCATTCTTTGTCCCCTCCCTTCATTCATGGAGAAAAGTGATTGGCTCTTACAGCCTTCCTTCTGCAGCATTCCCTCCTAACTGGTCTTTGTCACTGACAGAAGCCAGGGCCAACAAGAGCACGTGGTCTCTTAGGAGGTGGGGCTCATCACTGTGCCTGTTTGCTGCTGCCATTTTCCATTTTGTGGAGGCATTTCCTTTTCCTAAGGGAAGTCCATGAATGTTCTGGACACATTCTTCAGAAGAGTAAGAAGAAATATCCTAGAGAGTAGCGATTCACTCTTGACTGTTTTCTGATTTAAAACTGCTCACCTGAAATTGATACTTTGATATTCTGATCTGTAAATGACTCAGGATTTAGTAAAATGCTGAGTGTTCCATGCTGCAGAAATGGAGTTGGTATGGTCATACCTTGGCTGCCTGTGCTCAGAGTGTGCTCTCCCTTGAGCTTATTTTGTTAGCAATTCATATCTTGTGTTCAATTATTTTGGGAGCTATGGAGCGTGTTCCAGGAGGAAATTTGCTAAGAACTTTTATGGAAAGTACCATTTGATACATGATTCTGTCTGCACCAGTTGTATCCTAATGGTTGGTCTCATCACTGGAACCTTTAATGAACAAAATTAATCTTGAAATAAGGACTAGTTTTCTATCATGTATGGACACTTTAGGTACAAAGTGGAAATGCTCATGTGGGTGGAGGCAGAAACACCTGTTTATGGCTTCAGGTTGTTTAGGCCCCGGAAACCTGAAGTCACAGGTATGAATTTTACCACCATCATATGTAAACATCTTACAGTGGTCTTCTCTCTGATGCACATTCTTTTAAAAGACTTCACTGAAATGTCTTTAAGAGGGGAAATACAGAAAGCAAGCTTGTAAGCTACATTATCTGCCCTACACTGTAAAGGGAGCATGTTATGATGGAGGCTCATCCAAGGTCCCACTGTCAGGAGGTGCCCCCAAGAGTGGCTTTCTGCTCTCCCCTTACCCTGCATATCCAATGAGCCTGTTGTGGATGGAGCCTGTGCTGGTATGGACAGGGTCTCCTGCAAAGACCCTCTTCTATCAGGCAAGTGCACCTATGACTGGCCACAGAGCTCCAAAGAAATACCTCACCCCAGTTTCAGGGTCCTCCCTCCTGAGCCTAGATTTGTCAGGGTCCTGGGACAATGCAAATGGTTTCGAACTGACCTCTGTAGGCAAATGCCGGAGTTGGATGAAGAACTGAAAAATGTGCTCAACTTTTTCATCTTTTCTATTTTATTTTTGTAATTTATATTGTACACACCCTGGAAGTCACTATTTTGGACATGTATTTTTATAAACCAGGTAATTGATGATTATCTGGAATTTGCACTAGGTTAGTTTTTGTTGTTGTTGTTGTTGTTGGCTTAGTTTTCAACCAAAAGGGGAATGACTGCTCCTTCCAGGTCTGGGTTTCCATTTCAAGCACAGGTCTTGGAGGGCAGACATGTCCAGCCAGGGTAGGAGAGCAGCCTCAGAACACAGGCTGCACAGTGCCTCACAGCTCTGGGCCTGCAGTCAGAACCAGGCTGTGCTCTAATCTTTAGAACACAAAGCCCAGAGGCCTGGTGTTAGAAGGAGAAAGCCCTCCACAGGCCCTTGATGATAGCTAGGGCTTGCATCTAAAACAAAAACACAGCACTGGCTTCATCTGGGCTGAGTGATGCGTGAGTCATAATAATGGTTTGTCTGGTTACCTTCTGATGGGACTCCTCTGGTGTCTCATGCTGGTAGTAAATACAGGTGTGACCTTTCAAATTGCATATCTCAAAAGTAACATTGCCTAATGTTTTATAATAAAATATATTATGTGTGTTTTGATTGGTGGAAAATAATACAAACTACATTTTAAAAGAGAAATGTACAGCATGTCCAATTCCTGTGTGTTTCAAAGTGACAATTGACTGACTGTATCTTTCCACATCACCATTTTGATTACAAACTTAACACAAATAGATGTTGAAGTGTCGTGATTTCAGACATCCGCAAGTAAGAATACTGCTCTGTTCTCTCACTGAAAAGCTCTTGCATATCCCTGCAATGTTTCCAAAACAATGGCAGTAGGTTTTGACTTTTAAAAATGTATAATATGCTTGGAATATTGGTAAAGTTTCATTCTCACAAGATGTAACCAGGAGAACCAGCCAAGCTGTCTCTATTTGTCTTAAAGCCTTCATGGTACCTGTGTGCTTGTAATTTTGTGCATGGAATGAGCCGTTCTTATCTCACCTCAGTTTCCAAATACTGAGGATATTTGAAACGTCAAACCATAGGAGTAGCAGGCCTCCTGAGGCTCTCTCTCTTTCTCTGTCAGAACTAGAACTGGTCCAGGAAGTTGGCACCAGCCTCGGTGTTAAGGGCTAGATTGGGAAACTTTTGTTGACCTACCATCTCTCAGTGTAAACAACTCCAGAATAATTTTGTTAACTGAGATGGTCTCTGTAGATAGTTTGGTGGGGTTTTGTTTTTTTTGTAGTAGGGATACCTGTATTTAAATGTAGTGTGTATCAACACTATGCTGAAGATTGTCTGCTTGTGTGAATTTAAGTATAAGGTTACCTTTGACAATAAGGTAATGCCTTGATATTTTTGTTGTCATTTTGAATCACCAGTCAGCAACATCATCAGTGATGGGGTGGCAAGGTGGTGAATGACATCCCTTGCAGCTGAAAGTCACCGTGATGTAAAAGGGATACCACCGGGAACTGGTCCCATGCTGTGTCTCAAAGCCTGGAACTACATGCCTCTTGGTGGTTTAAAAGCCCAGGGACCATTGTGACAGAGTGTTTCCTGCTTCACTTCTCTGTCTTGGTATCTGGGAGTTGGAAGAGAAATTCAAGATCATCTACCTACATCCCCACCACAGAGCAATGAGGGGGAATTTGGGGAGAGGTTGCACACCTTGCCAGGCATAAAGAAGGGAGTAACAGGCTTGCTCCTTTCCAAGGCCCAGAGTGTTCACTAGCCTCATTCCTCACTCTCTTGTGTTTATAAAGACCTCTGGGAATCCAGGGAGGATCTCTCCCAACAGAAACATCACAGGAGCCTGCAAGACAGTTGTGAGTCAGCACCAGCTGAGCTTGTCTTCAAAAGCTTGTCACTGTGAGCATTATTTGTCCTTTTAGCCAGAGACCAATCAGCGTCTGTGATGATGCTGGCCTTCTAGCTGTTGTATTCTAGTATTTTCTCATCCCCCATGAAGATAATGTATGGTACCAATTTGATGTGGCTTGGACATTGTATTGGTCCCTTTCTTCATTGCTGGGACAAAATACCTTACAAAAATAGGCTCAGAGGGGCTGGAGGGATAGCTGAGCTGTTAAAAGCTAGGCTTACAACCAAACAATAGGCTCAGAGTTTGAGGGTATGTTCGGTCATCATGGGGAAGGCTTGGTGGCTTGACTCATTTTCTCTCGTTCTTTCTCCTCAGTCTGGGGGACACATACACATACAGCCAGTAGGACAGCACCGTTCAAATTCAGGATTGATATTTCCTCAGTCACACCTCTCTGGAAATGCCCAGAGATGTAGCTCCTAGGTAGGTCCAAATCCCATCAAGTTGACTGTCAAGACCAACCATTACAGATACTATTTGTCCCAGAAGTTCAGGTGATATCAAGTTGGTTACCAAATAACCAGAATTGAGAGGTGGGTGAGAACTTTAACAGGTGGAACCTCGTGAGAGGTAATCGGATCTCGAGAGGCTCTCATGATGGGACTAATGTCTTTCTTTAGAAACAGAGTGTATTCTCTTATGTCTGGGTTGGGTCTCATGAGAGTGAGTTAAGTATTGGACTAGGTTAGTTGCCCAAGGGTGGGTTGTTACCAAGTGGTCCTAGACTCCTTTGTTTCTGATGAGCATGCACCTGCATCCCCTTTCTGTGCTTTCTTGTAATATCTTACAGCCAGAGACCAAGCCATGCTCCTTAATTCCAGGACTGGGAGCCAAATACATTTCTCTATAAATTACCCAGTCTTGGGTATGCTGTCATAGCAGCCAAAAACAGGCTACAGCAGGTTGTCCTGTAAGACGTACACCCTCTAGCCATGTGTAGCAGCTTCCATAAGGTCCTTTTTTCCCTTTCTTGTATTTTCTGGAATCTGGGAGGTATACCAGGTTTGCTTGATCTTTTGGTAATCATACATTTAGGTGATAATGTGTCCTTTCTCTTAAGTCACACCCAAAGCCATTGCATGTCTCTGTGACCCACTGTCAAATAGACACTAAACCTGACCACTTGGCTAGAGTGACAACAGTCTAATCTCCATCTCAGTTACATTTTCCTCCTTGTGATGAGAAGCTTGTCTGTGTGGGCTTACCTTGGGGATGTCCCATCCGTCACACTTTCATGCTGTCAACCGTAGTTGATCATCTTGCTGTGAGCAAGACTCTCACGGGGCCTTAAGGAAGAGTGACTTCCTCAATTCATCTATCCAGGTGACTGTCATTCACTGACACATGCTGTCAGGAAGCACTTCTTTGCATAGCGAGGGCTGCTTCCTGAAGATGACCTCTGCACTTTGCGCTTTTAGTTTAGTACTTGGTGTTCAAATGGGCACAGCTTAAAGGCCACCTGCATGGTCTTACTGGAGTCTCTGCTTTTCTGGCTTTTCTGTCTGAGGATCTCATTATTCCTTCTGAGACTTAAAATGCCACATTTGTGCACCACCCCCCCCCAAGCCAATTCCTATGCCATGTGATTGATCCCATTAAGTCTTCAAATTTTAATTTTGAAGTAACTTCAGACGGATAGAAAAGCAGAAGGAATAGAACAAAGAATTCTTCCATAACCATTTCAGACCCCCCCCAGATGTTAACATTTTTCCACATCTGTGTTATCCTCTATCTGCACAATTGCATACATATACCCATATGAGCACACATGTATTTAAACTAAATAGTATATATAGTCATTGAGTTCCCTCTATTTTTTTTTTGTAAGCAATCAGACTTTTTTGTTATGTTTTTCAAGACAGAGTTTCTTTGTGTTACAGTTCTGGCAGCTGTATGGGAACTCACTCTGTAGACCAGGTTGGTTTTAAACTCACAGAGATCCGCCTGCCTCTGCCTCCCGAGTGCAGGGATTAAAGGTATGTGCCACCACTGCCTAGCTAGCAGCCAAAATTTTAATGTCTGTTAACTCATGTATACAAAAGGTATAGGCATCTAATTTTTAAAGGCAGAGCTACAAGCAGAAGCATGCTTGTGTCTGCTGATAGACATGCAGTATTCAGAGGGACCAGCATCCACGTAGCTAAACAAGGCCACATTAAGTGTCAAGACATCTCTGAAGAACCAGATACTTTGAGTGGTCTAAGGGATCATTCAGGAACCTTTGAACACCTGTCTTGGCCACAGGACTTCAGAAGCTACAGAAGGAGAGACACTTCAATGATAGACGTGGAATTGAGGCAGAGAGCCTAGAGGGTGTAAGAGCATGCTAAAGAGCTGCTTAAAGTTGAGGGACACAAAACTGGAGACCTGATGTTTAAAGGGCTGGAGAGATGGTTCAGCAGTCAAGAGCTCTGACTGTTCTTCCAGAGGACCTGAGTTTGGTTCCCAGCACCCACATAGCGGCTCATAGCTGTCTGCAACTCCAGTTTTAGGGGATCTGACACCTTCTATGCTTGGCAGGCACCAGGCATACAATGATGCACAGAAATACAAACAGGTAAACCATTCATACACAAAAAGCAAAAGAAACTGTTAAAGTTAACAGAAAGTTAAAAATTGTAACATGAGCCAGAAGAAGGAAATTCAGTCAGGAAAAGAGAAAAAATTTAAAAAGTAAATGCAAAAGGGGAGGGGGTGTGACCATAAATAAATAAATGCTACTGTCACTAGGAATTACAAACACAAATGGCTCAAGCAAATTGACCCAGCATGTGTAAGTACAAATGTAGCAAAATATGAGACACAAAAGCATCCATCCTTACATATATTCTATATAATGGCAACTGTGGGTATACAGATGATTGACAGAATCACAGGAGAAACATCAACAAGTTCTGTTTGAAATCTGAATACACTGCTCTTAGGACAGATAGGTCAGACAGATCAAAGCTGAATAAAAATCCTGAAGTTTGGAGGGTCAGTATTTAACTGGGCTTATAGGGGATGTTTATACCCACTGGACAAATTCTTTTTGCACACATAATGGAAATTATGGAAAATCAACTACCAGTTCACAGAGGAAGTGTCAACAAATTCCAGAGTTGGCATCATAAGATTTTTTTGGTATAATGGTCTTAACAGAATTGAAAATAAATTTGATAAGATTTCACACTTTAGATAAAAGGGGAAATTATGAGGAAAAATACAAAATTCCTGAAAAATGCATAGCCTAAATGCCAAATTTCATAGAAACCATCACTGGCTGACAAACATTTACCACAGATTTCAGAAAATGTGTTCAGCACTTAACTCAGGAAATTGACCCCGAACAGGGCAAACTCAAGCAAAAAGGAATAATAAAGACAGGTGCAGGGATCAAGAAACTAGAAAACAGGGCAAGGCAGACTGTGTGGAAAATGGCTCAGCCAGGAAAGTGCTCCCCTTGTAAAGCCTGAAGACCCGAGCTCGGTTCTGTGAACCCACATACAGAAGGCTTGGTGTGGTGGCAGCAGCTTGTTATCCAGGGCTGGGTAGGTGGAGGCACATAGTTCTCTGGGGCTTACTGCCAGCCAGCCTGCCCTAACAGAGTGGCTGTCTCCAACAATAGAAACGTGGAATGATGATGAGGTTGTTCTCTGACCTTCACATACATGAACACATACCTGCACACATGTGCACCCCCCACATGAACACATACACAAAGACATTAGAAAATAAAAATGAGAAAAAAAATATCAAAGCCACAAGAATGAAATAGATACATCTAGAGTGCAAGAGTGCGAAGTGGCATCTAGAAACAGCTGGACAGAAGAGTGTTTAGAATCTTCTGGCAATTGTGATCA